AATTAATTTATTTTCTTCGTCTAATAAGTGCTCTTCCCATTCTTTTTGAAAAAGTTTCAATTCATCATTTTCAGATTTTCTTACAGCTTCACGTAAACCTGGTGTATACTTTGGGATTGTTTCTTTCATCTTGTCGTGAAATTCTTTAAGCTATTACATGTTAGAGAAAACTGTCATTTAAATCAAAAAAAAAAAAAAACCATTTTAGATGTATAAAAAGCAATACCTACACTACTGACACCAAGAATTGATCCGATTCCAATTGCACATAAACCTCCAACTGAGACGCAAAGGATTGTACCAATCGCAAAAGCTTGTATAGAAAAAAAACTGGCTTTTTTATATCTAGTAAGTGTTTCTAATTCGGTTAATTTAACATTTTTTGATGAAAGGTCTGATTGAAAAGATTTGGCTGTAAAATATCCGATATAAATCAGTATATGTCATTTTTAATTTACAGTATACAAGTCATTTACTGAATTATTTACTTTTCCGTCGAGCATATAACAATGAACCGGCTACTCCAATAATAAAAGAAGTAGCGGACAATCCAAGTATAAAATTCCGATGACGAGGGTGAAGAGAAGTAGTAGTAACGGTGGAATTCATTTGATTGGTTGTCTGATTAATATCTAAAGGACTTGATGATTGATTCATTATTATTTAAAGCTAACATTAATTATCAAAGTTTTTTATCGAAATTTTGGGGACACATCGATATATATGGGCAGATTTGACATTCTATATCGATATGTGTGATACAGTACAGGACGCCTTATACAGGACGCCTTAAACCAGTAAGTAAAAAAACTTCATAAAAATAAGAAATATAACTAAAGAACTTTTTTTGCAAAAATGTACAATAAATAAATATTTTAATTTAATAAAATTTAACAACGTAAACCTTTTTAAAATTATTAGTAAAATAAAAATTTGGTCGCATATTTCTTAGGATTTGAGGTTATGGTGTAAATTTATATAAAATAAATTACGTATAATTTTATAAATTCCAAATCCATTTAAATTCTGTTTCCGCTTGCAACATATATCAAAACATAAAATTTAAAAAAGTCACTGGTTTAAGGTGTCCTGCCCTGTATAAAAATGTGATTTTAATAATAATAATCATAAAAACAAATATGCGATTTTTATCCACGAACTCAACGTTAAGTACATACAGTACTGAAAAAAAAACATACGCGATCTCTGTAAACTTTTACGGGAGATATATATCTATCACAGTTTAATTACGTTATAAAATTACCTATATTATTTTAGCTACTAAATTGCTTATGAATTAACTTTATAATGAATTAACTTTATATAAATATTAAAAAAAAGGCTGGATTTCGTAAAGCATATTATATCATTTTTATAATTGGAAATCGCCAATACTTTGCATTATGTATATACGTAAATTTTAATATAAAATTTGAGTTTTATAAGTACGCCTTTTTTTTAATGGTTAGGGTCAGCAAAACTATATGGGGTCTTTGCCTTGAAAATGACCTTACGGTATCATGTACCGTAAGGTCATTTTCAAGGCAAAGACCCCATA